TCTTTGTTTTATTTTGTAGAGCTTATTTAGCTTCACAAAATAAAAAAAAGTTCATTTAAATTGGATAGCTAGATGGTTGACAATTTTAATTTTATTCACAAAATTAACATAGTTTCAGAGAGTTAGTTTTATAACAAAGATCTCATATTATTTAAATAGTTTATCTATTAAAAAAAAAGGTTGTTATTATAAATGTAAAAAAAATAAAATAAATAAATAAAAAATAAAAAAAATAAATAAAAATAAATGAATATTTTATAATAGTTAATACAGATCTATCAGTAAATAGTTTGATAACTTGCAATTTGTAATTAGTAATATACTGGAATTCTGAATTAAATTAAAATTCATTTCATATACATCTCTTATAATAATTACTTATAATAATTACCTATATTAATAATATGAATATTTGAAACTTTACACTATTGTTTGCATTGTAATTGCTGTTGTTTATACAATTAGAACTAGATAATTATTATTAATTGATTAGTAGTAGCTGCATATATTAGAATTTAAGCAATTTTATTTATGAGTACTTACTATGAGGCAAAATATAATCTAAAACCTTACATTAATTGTTCATTAACAACTATATTACTTTCATAAATTTAAGAGATCATGACATCAGTAGAAATTAGGTAAGTAACTGAAACATTATATTGTTAATTACATTTCTTTTGCAGATCAAAGTTTAATTATGACATAAGTAGATAGCAAATGAATATCTAAAACCTTACATTATTCTTGCATTATGATTTGTAATTGTAATAGTTTTCTTGTAAATCTGAATTCAACATAAAGCTGTATATAAGAAAGTATTGTCAATAAAATCAGTTTTTTGGATTTTACAAAATTCTTTATTAATCATAATATTATCTAAAAAATAAGAGCATATCTAAAGCATAACTATAGAATTAATTTTAAATAATATTTCTTATTCTGAAACTATAAATATGAAGGATCTAAATATCTTTGAATCTATTATTAAAAAAGCATTACCTTCTAATTATAAATATTTTATAGAAATCTTTAAACAAATTTCATCACATAGCTTTTTGAGTGCTTATGAAATGTCTTTTAAGATCAGCTGTTATATAAACATTCTAATAATTGAAGAATCTAAAGCATGGTTTTAGAAATTCATGAACATGCTTAAAATAACAATAAGAAAAACCTGTAGACATACTATTAAAGAAATACACTATATCTTATCTAAACAGTTTTACTGTATCCATAGCTACATTGTTAAATTAAAGCAAGAAATAAAAAACAATAGCAAAACCAATATGGAAAATATATGAAAGCAAAATACCAATTGTCTGGCAACATTAAGTATTCAATTACTCAAAAGATCTAATCCTTATCCATGCATTGTTTCTTTATACTTTGATCATAATCATCCTCTTAAGTCTAGCTATGTTATAAGTTTTCATCTATTATTTAATAAAACAAAAAATAAAATCATTAAACTTTTTAAAACAGATCATAATTCTGGTAGTGCATATCATATATATTGAGAACAATTGCAATTAAACTGTAAAAATGATAAAGAAATTTTAGCTGATAGATTAACAGTACTATGTAAAAGTGATATTTTTTATCTATATAAAAAATATCGTAACCAGCATATAGGTGCTCAAAACAAAAAGGAAATGTTTAATTAATTAGTAAAAGAAGTTTCTGAATTTAATGATAACCATAAAGAAAAAGCATGGTTGCAATCATATATTGCACCAGAAAAGAAAGACCCTGGACAGCCACTTATTCTTGTTATTTTAACAAACTTTATGATATATTGTCATGAATTACAGAAAGCAGGTGAATTAGTATACATGAACACAACTGCCAGGTTAAATATACTTAATACTTCCTTAACAATTCTTTCAACAAGCACATCTGTCAGTGGTTTGCTTCTTACTGTAATCCTTACTTCAAATGAATCAACAAATACTTTTACTAAAGTACTAGATATATTAAAACACATGATATTATCAATAGCATTTAGTAAATATGGTAGTATTGTTGAATCATAGGTAATAATGACAGATGACTGTAATGCAGAGAGAATAGCATTAAGTAATACCTAGAAAGATGCAACCTTGCTTTTATATGTTTTTCACTTTTTGCAAGCAATATGAAGATGGCTTTGAGACAACAAATATGGTATTCATAACAATGATCACATAACTCTAATTAAATATGTAAAAAAATCATATTTGCTAAAACAAAAATAATGCTCAATTTAGTATACAATAATTTAATAATTAGTCAAATATACTTAAAGTATTCAACCTTTCAATCCCATTTTAAAGCTTCTTGGAATCAGTGGTACAAATAGACTATTGCATTATATTAGGACCTTCCAGTTCATAATAACTATACCAACAATTTTGCAAAGACCGGCATTTGAATTTTAAAGATATAATCTTTAAATAAGTACAAGTATATAATTTAATACAACTTTACCAATTCATAATTAATATAATGGATTTGTACTATATTCATAGATTATTGGCAGTGGCATATAATAATTTGAATAACTTTATTGCACTTTGTTTTAAACTTTTTGAATGGCCAATTGGAATAAAAGATGATATAGAAATTGTGAATCAAAACTCAATGATTTTTTGATATAGAAGCAGCAGGAATAAAGATATGTAATATCTGGTTAATATATAATTTGAAACTTGTGAGTATAGTTTAATGAGAGTATTGTGCAAGCATCAAGCTTCTATAGCAAAACATTTTTATATATATGGATTAAATCAATTGCCTACAATGTCTGCTAGTAAATGGCATTATTATGCCTTCTTGGTATTAAGTGAAAAGTGTAAGTCTTTTGATTTTTATGCAGACCTTCATTAGCTTAAAAAAGAGAAAGATGTATATTTAGTGACTGATAGTAAGTTAAAACTTAATAATACTATTAATACTGGTATATATGCTGATGATAATTGTCATAATGATAGTTATAGTTGCAATAATGTTAACAATAATAAAAGTATTAATAGCAATAGTAGCAGTGATACTAATGATAATGATATTATGGTGTGGGTCCCATAGCTTAGCGGTTAAGCTCCCATACCCTCCACAGTCAAGGTCAACAGTTCAAGTCTGGCTGG